GAATTATTATTTAAACTGCACACACGTAATTTAGATGTAAATTTTATAGCATCACCTTTGATAATAAGTATTTGTAATGATTTATGATTATAATAAAACGTGTTTTTATCTATGGAACAATAGTTATATGTTGTTATTTTCGATAGTATTTTTCCCAATAAATCAGATTCACATATTTTACTTATTGACAGTAGACTTTTGTCAGCCTGCAAATAATTACCATCCTTATTTCTTATTATATCTGGGGAAAAATTCAAAATTTATGTGCATAAAGAGAAAAATAAAATATGCATTGGTATTATATATTTAAATTATGAATGAAAGAGGAACACGATAACACCTCTGTGTTAACTTATGAGTGTTTTTCTCGGCGCAAGGAGAAAAATGATTAGTTCAAGTGTTGATAGCTTATAAGAACTAATTAATGTAAATCCTTCAAGAATAGATGTTCATCCACCAGAAGAGAAACTCAGTCTTCGAGTTATAATTTTCCAGATGTGGTAGAAGCAGAGTCAAGTCGAAATATAGACATATACAGAAATTAAGAAGTCCAATCATTCTGTTAATAACATCCATTTTTTAAAAAAAATATTTATGTGTGTCAATCTATTTCGTTCGCCCTTCATATTTTTTTTCTTAGACTAGCGACAAACTTCGTTCATCGGCGTAGAAGTGTCAACTATTCTGCAATGGAAGAACATTTTTTAAGTGTGCTCTTCCATACTTTTAGTTTTCCCTATGTTGTTCTTCTCTGTTATGTGTGACTTTCTTTCCTTGTTGTTCTTTATTATGCGTTTATTCTTGCCTCTACTGGTATTTATGTCATTCCTTTCCTTGTGTGCACTCTTTCTCTTTTATTTTCCACTATTACTTCTTTGTAGACGATCACCAGTGCTATGATAAACAAACTATAAACAAAAACAAAAAAGATTTTTCTCTATTCCGTACTCCAATTAATGCGTGATAAAAGACAATGACATACACATTTTAATACTTCTACTCTAACGTTAGTACATTCACTTAGTAACAAACGTTCAAAAGTAATTCAAATTGTTGATAAAAACTCATTTGGAACAGAAATAAATGATAGTGAGCCGGACAAGAGTAGTCTAATGCGAATTCGAATATAAACCAAGAACTCAGTGAACAGTATCGAGTCAAAAATGCATGAAAAAAACTAAACTATAGGTTCTTGGGTCGTCAGGAAAAATAAAAAAAGATAAAGTTTTTCGTACATATAATATATACGGAATATATATAAAGGGTGTCCCATAATAACTGAGAATAATTTGCTATTGATATTTTTCATACTTTTACTCGGCGTAGAAGGCTGAAATTTTTATCACATATAGATCTAATCGAGATCCTTTATTTCTGAAAGTTTCAGCTATCTAGCTTTAACTAGTAGTGAAATACATCGACAAAACTGAAACACATGAATTTTCGAAAATGACCATTCAATATTTTCAATATATAAGCAATCGCGATAGAGTTGTGATAACGAATTGTACAAGTAATTTAATTGTCACCGTCGGCTGTAATGTCTACTAACTTACACCACATGTTCAGGATATCTCTGTCATACACGCGCATATACACACAAATTGTGTAAGAGAGAATCAGCGACAAATATAGGAAAGAACGATGGAAAGGGAAGGTGAAGAAAAGATAAGAGGAAAAAGGAAAAGAAAATACCAGCGAGTAATATCGCTATCTGCAAAGAAGTAACAAAAGTTATTTTATTAATAGATAGAAGTACATTTAAATATAGAATCATTTGCATCTAATAACAAACTTTATCTTAAATGTCCATCAGCCACGAAAATAGAAAAAGACTTCAGAAATTTTGTATTGAATTTAAAACGATTGAATACAACATGGAGTGTTGGTCGCAAGGTTCAGTTCAGTTACAACGCCTGAATTTCAACAAAATATTAATTATTATATTAAATTGAAAAAAGGTGCTTTTATTAGAAAGAGAACAATTTACATCATCCAAAAGCTCAGTTCATCGAACAACTAAAAAATTAAATTTAAAATGGTATAAAAAACGAAAAGCACAAAAACTACCCAGATCGAACAATCCGGCAAGGAAACGGTCGGTTCCGGAGTTTTCCGGAGATTTCATGGAAGCAGTATTCCGTGACGGAATTTGCCGGATTTTTCTACTTACTTTCCTGCCATATCCAGCTGGAAATGGAGGGAAAATCCAGGGAGAAATCCGATCGTTTCCGTTTCTAATCCGGATAGTCGGTTCCTGCAGGGAAACGATTTCAACTGACTGGATTTCTGTCGGATTTTGTAAGTCCAATTTCCGCGAAGATCCACACCCAAGTTTACCACCTACTTCCGTCTATGTCCCACCTCGGAAGTATACCCACGACGATAATTCTGGCCTCCTAAAACGATTGGAACTGGTCGGAAAGCTAAGGAAAAATCATTGTTTCCAGACGGAAAAGGCTCGGAAATCAATGGAAATGAAAGCAGTATTCCGAGTCGGAAAAATATGTAACTTTTCCGGTGACTTCCGGTCATTATCAGGGCTGAATCAGCAAACGGGAAAAAGACTTTTGGAAAAAGTTTGGTAACTACTCCGGCTTAATCAGCACTGTTTCAGCGCTGAATCAGCCGAAGAAAAAAAAAACATTTTTGAAAATGTTTGGTAACTACTCCGGCAGAATCAGCCAATGAAAAAAACACTTTTCGGAAACGTATGGTAACGAAACGTTTCAAAATCGCAGAACTGTATACGTCGTGCAAAGATGATCCGAAGATATACAAAAATTGGTAGCTAAATGTTGTTCCTTATTGCGGAAGATATCCTTCCAAAACGAGGAAAGAGTTTATTGTTATGCGGAACGTTTCAATAGAAAGCGTACTTCAGAGAAAAAAGTTAGTGCTTAATCGGTTAGCTGTTTGATTAACAAGTATCCACTGTGAATTTTATCAACTTGTGATCATTTAAAAAAGACAATTCGGAGAAATCAACGATTCACAGACATGGCTTTGGAAACTTCTTGTTTGAAGCTACTACAGCATCATTTTTAAACAATTTCAAGGTGATTTTCGAGATCAGTATATGAAATTCTACTAGCTCAGAAAGTTTTACCTACTCCCATGAAGTCGATGTAAATATGACATGCTTTGAAAATAATTGCCCATAGCTTCTCAAGAGCTCTAATGGGCGCTGTCATATTATAGTGCTTGCGAGCCTACGGATACTCCTAAAGAAAACTCCGCGAGAACCTATGGGTACCCATGTACGATAGCCCTTGAGGATCTATGAGTACTCCTATAGGAAAACGGTTGAAGACCTATGAGCACCTCTATAGAATAGTCCGTGAGGACCTATGGATATTGATATACGATGGCCATTGAGGATTCCTGGATGCTTCCATATTATAGCCCTTGAAGACCTATGCGTACTCTTATAGGATAGCCCTTGAGAACCTAAGAGTATCCTAATAGAAAAGCCCTTGAGGACCTAAGAGTACCTCTATAGGATAGTGCTTGCGCACTTAAGGGTACACCCTTGGCGTAACACATGAGTGCCTATGCGTCTTCATGGTTTAACCCGTTGAGAGTCATGAGTACTTCTCTTAATTAGTGCCAATTGGTTGAGTATTAATCAAGATGAGTATTGATCAAGATGAGGACTAATTAAGATGTATACTAATTAATTAACTAATTTACAGTTACATAATGTTCATAGTCTATGGCTATGATCGGTGGGAGCCTACCGTTTACTATTAACTTTAAAGCAAGAAAAGAGATCATTGAGTAAAATATAGATGCGTAAATTAGCTCGAAATTTGGAGTTTAGGCAGTTTGGAGCCCACTTTTTTGATCGAAAGTAGAGAATTTTTATGGAATTAGAGGAGAGATGGGCCAGTGCCTCGTTTCCTGCTGGTAATGGTAGGAAACGATCGGATCTTAGGGACAGTATTGCGCAGGATTTTGATGGATTCTGCTAGCCGTTTCCGAGCGTTTCCAGCCGGAAAGCGACAGAAGTGTCGGGAGTTTGCTGGAAATAGCTGGCGGTATCCTGTTTAGGAATAATTTGGCCGTGTTCCGTTGATTTTCGAGATTTTCTATGTTGTTAGAAGATAACATCAGAGTAGATCCAACCGTTTCCACTGTGATTCCGGCTGGATATGATCCCAGGTCAATGATTCTGAAAAACAGATCCTGTGGGAATCGGCGGGAAAATTCACCGTATCTTGCAGAAAAAATACCCCAGAACGATGATTTCGGCGGCTGGATCCGTGAATTTCCCGCGGGAAACGGCTGGTTCCTTGCTGTATTCTTCGACCTGGGAAGCAGGATACGGTAACTTTCCGTAAGAACTCCACGCGGATATGATAACTTTCCAAGATAATTCCGGACACTGGATTTGCACGAAAGTGAAAGGATTCGGTACGGTACTGTCCGGTCTGGAATACTGCTTCCATTTTCCGTATGTATTCCTGGTGGTTCCGGGGAGAAATAAGCTGGAACCTGCCGGAATTAGCAGAAAATAGCCCTGGTCCTTGTTGAATCCGGAGACCGGAATCATCGTCCTGGGTAAATGCTGCTGATAAACTAAAACGTATTGAATTTGCAAAAGAATTAAGAAGAAAATTTGATGTTAAAAGAAATTCTTACAAATCGAAATGGAATCATGTTGTGAATTGTAATTTCTCAGGTTTATTTCTTCTTCAAGGCTTTCAAAACAGAAGAAATGATGGTGTATGGGCCAACGAAGGTGAAGAAACTGAAACAGATTTAACTAATACACAAGCAGATAAATTTCAAAAAGGTGTAACATTTTGGGGTGCAATATCCTCGCGTAGTCTTATCCCATCGGATGTACCAATTAATGTTAGTAAATGGTTAGAACAACAAGGTACTTCATCTAATGAGAAATGAAAAAGAATGTATTTAACAAGCCAGTTGTAGGCTAAATTCTTGAAAGAAAAGGTGGCTTCAGCAATCAAAACAACATTTCGAAAATATAAATTGGATCCCATTTTTCACGACGATCAGGACCAGAAACAACGAACAAAATTAGTAAGAGATACAATTGCACGAGTTTTTAATGAACGTATAAAACCATCCGATGATGATGCTACATTTACTGATGTGTGGAGAATAGAAAATGTGTGAGGAAAATTGAAAGAAAAAATTCATGGAAAAGTGTTTAATACATCACTCGAATTAAAAGAAGAAATTAAAAAAGAATGGAAAAAATTTTCGATAGAAAGATGTGCAAGAATGATGGACGAAATACCTTATTGATTGTGACTAGTTATAAAAAACAATGGAGAGCATTTTCATATGTTTTAATTTTTATTTATATTGTACTTTTTGAAAAAAAAAGTCTCTTAAGTTCCTTTTATCGACTATTAATAAATATAAATAGTCAAGAAATACTGAAAATATTGAATGGTCATTTTCGAAAATTCATGTGCTCCAGTTTTGTCAATATATTTTACCACTAGTTAAAGCTAGATAGCTGAAACTTTCAGAAATAAAAGATATTGATTAGATCTATACGTGATAAAAACTTGTGCCCTCTACGTCGAGTAAAGGTATGAAAAATATCAATAGCAAATCATCCTCAGTTATTATGGGACATCCTTTATAATCAACATGAGAAGCATGATTCGATCATTTTATCAGTTTGAAAAGGAAACAATATCATCATTTATGGATTGATTGAGATATATACTAGTATGATAAGAGTTGCTGATGCAAATAAACTGCATTATTGTAATAGTCTTATTCATGAAATCGTAGATGGTGAAAAAAAAAATAATTTCAAATTGAAAAAAACAAAAAAAATAACTATTATCGAGTATATAGCAACAATTATAAATAAAATCGGGTGCTCTCGAATGAAAAAGACATTTTCCGTTTCAAATGTAGAAATAAATAATAAATTCCCGCTCTTGTCATCGATTATAAGTGACAACAACCATAGTCGAGAAGAAATTTTTCAGTGTACAGATGATGTATTAGGATAACAAGGTTGAACGATATACGTGAGTTTCACATTTCAGCTTCAAAGGAGCTGCGCTAACAAGCTTTTTTTCTTTATTTTAGATTATTATACTTATAAGGATAATAATCTACTTAGGGGCATACTAAAAGTAGAGGCAGTGACACTTTAATACTGTATATTAAGCTATGAGAATCGTTCTATATAGTCTTCAAGAGAAAAGAATGCTGTATTTTTCTATGATATTTGATCGTACTTCAACTAATATCATAATAATGAAAATTTGATAAGATTTGTTTTGTTCACATGTGCCACAGTTCCATGAATGCTACTGAGTGTTTTTTGAATAACTTTTGATAGGAACAAGATAGAGAATCGCAGTTCTCACCATTGGAAAGAGGAAATGAAGATACATCAAATCGTATACTATGGGTTCTTCTAATATTGATTTCTGAAGTATTTTTATTTAATCTTCTAACAATTGGAAAAATGCTTTTTTATAAAAAAGGGAAAATGCACAAAAATGAGCTTTTTTTTACAGCTTTTGCTAGAAAATCGTGTTAGAGGCTCAACTAAAACCCATACTATTCAACTCAGCCTTCCATAGTTTGTAGAGCTTCGATTAATGGTTTGAATTTATACTTGATAATTGAAAATCTACTATAAATAACTTATCAAATACAGTTGTTCTTTAAAAGGTCAATTGAAAACCTTACGAAAACCAGAATGGGAAATTCTGGAATGTACAGTTCGGTGCGTCTTCATCTCCTCTTTCCAATGGTGAAAACCGCAGTTCTCTATCTTGTTTCTATCAAAAGTTATTCAAAAAATATTCACTATTATTTTTTGAAAATGAGTATTAATACAATCAGCACATATGGTAATGAAACAGATCTTATCGAAATTTTATTATTATGATTTTAGTTGAAGTATGATCAAATACCATAGAAAAATAGAGCATTCTTTTCTCTTGAACACTATATAGAAAGAAAATTTCTTTAAGTCTACTATACGGCATTAAAATGTCTCTGCCCCTACTTTTGGTGTGCCCTAAATAAAATTAAAAAAAATTAACTAATCTAAAATACTTACTGTTCGATAATTGACTAAGAAAAATAATCTAACATAGATTTAAAAAAAAGGAAATAATTCAAAATACTTACTGTTCAATCATTGACTAAGAATAATAGTCTAAAATAAAGAAAAAAAATGAATTAATCTAGAATACTGTTTAATAATTGAATGAGAATAATAATTCAAAATAGATTAAAAAAAGGAAATATTTCAAAATACTTACTGTTCATTCAACTTGTGCTCACCTCCTTCTACAAGAGTCTGATAAAGTTGAACATACAGCGCCGTATACGATAGTCGTATTTCTCCGTATATGAAGCAAAGTAGTTTATTTTTGAATGCCTCCATAATTTTGCACGATCTCCGTGTATCTCTGTTTTCCTCCGTAAACGATCGTTTACGAGCGTGCATATTCGATCTGGGTCACTACTCATGAAGTTATCTTATAAATCATATTTAAGAAAAATTTTATCTGATGGTTTTTCTTCAACTTATTGTATAGCAAGGGTGATCCAGAAGTTACCGGGCAATCAATCTTTAATTTTGAATATCTTTTGATAGGAACAAGATAGAGAGCTGTGACTTCCACCATTCGAAACAGATTTTGTTACTGCATAGTTGCATGTATTAATCAACAATCTTGTCTGACGATTAATTAGTGAATCTTCAAAAAAACAGTGACTGCTCTATGAAGATAGCATGAAAGTTCAATTCTAAGAAGTGTATTAGACCAACATCCTTAGGATCCATTCTCATCCTCATAACAAAAAATTTTAGCGCTTTTTCAAAAGTTATAAATGCGACACTAAGGAATGAGGCTGTGGGTATGAGTTGTAAATACGCAAGTCTAGTACACTTCTTAGAATTGAACTTTCATGCTATCTTCATAGAGCTGTCACTGTGTTTTCGAAGATTCACTAATTAACTATCAGAAAAGATTGTTGATTAATGCATGCAACTAAGCAGTAACGCAATCTGTTTCGAATGATGAAAATCGCAGTTTTCTATCTTGTTCTAATCAAAAGATATTCAAAATTAAAGATTGACTGCCCGGTAACTTCTAGACCATCCTGTATATATATATGTATATTATTTATAAATTATATCTAAGAAAAGCTTTATCTTTATCTATTCATTAGACTTACAGGACTACTCTTATATACATATATATAATTTATAATCTATATCAAAGGAAAGCTTTATCTTTTTCCATTCATTAGACTTACAGAACTACTCTTATATACATATATATACTTTATAATCTATATCAAAGAAAAACTTTATCTTTTTCCATTCATTAGACTTACAGGACTACTCCTATATACCAGACCTCGCAGACGTACTACTTTTCTGATTTTTTCCTGATTTTTTTCCTGATTTTTAAAAATACCGTGATTTTCCCTTTTTTGACCGAAAATCCTGATTTTCTCCTGATTTTTCATGATCCATTCCAATAGGGACTATATCTACTTGACCATGGCATGGTGTATTTTTATTTTAATTAGTTTATTTTCAGAATGCATATAAAAATATTGTAGAATATCTTCAATAAAAAAAAATACAACATATATGAATATTTTTTTTTAATCATTCATTTTCTCTGTTTTTTCTCATTCGGTTTAAGTTTTCATTATTCTGAATTAATTGAGTTTTCAAAACAGCTAATTTAGCATTAGCAGCTGTTACAAGTGCTTCAGCTGTACCAACATCATCAGATGCCTTATTGTTCAAAGCTGTGGCAAGTCTTGTACTCCGTTCCTCCAACATTTTAGTTGCATTCAATAATTCTTGTTTTAAATTCTTTTGTTCATTTAACAATTCAATTTCGTTTTCTTCTAATCGTTCATGTTTAGTATCAAAAGCACGTGTTACATTAACAACATCAATATTTTTAATTAATTTTTGTTGTTCTTCATTATCTTTTATATAACATGAATATGCTTCTTGTACATTCGAAAGTAAAGCAGCGGTTGCTGGTACCTTAAAAAACAATTATCAGATTTCGAACAAATGAAAGATGTATTTACCACATGCACTTTTCAACCACCGAAGAATTTAACACCAGCATTTGTAGCTCGTAAACCTTTGATAGATGCTTCATTTAAAGATAAACGTTCATCCAATACAAGATGATTGTTTTAACCCTTGGGCGCTGTTCTCATTTTTTCACACGAAGAACGTATGTGGGTCCGGTCGGGCCCACATGTAGTTCCACTAGAATAATGTTATAAGTTATCTCTATTACGCTAGCTATAGATGAGTCAAGATTCTTCTTTAAATCCTTCACGGATATTAACGCTTGTATGGGTCATTATCGAACTCAACTCAATGCTTGTATAGTAAGAGAAATAATTTTTTAAATATATTATGATAGCACTAGAACGTTCAAATTATTGAGTAGAACGTGTATATCAATACAATACAAATTAGTAAATATGACTGTATGTATGAATATAGCTTACAATGCCACTCATATTAAAGGCAAGAAGTTTTTTTTTATTTTTATTTTAAATGAATAAAAAACAATAAAATCAATGTAACTGCTAAACTAGTTTAGTTCTTGTTTGTAGATTTCTTCAATTTGTTCGTTTATAAGATTCCATTTTGACGATGTATTTTTCTTGCATGACTGACAAATGACTGATTTGATACTAAAAGAATGTGAATTGCAAACATTCCTTTGACATGCATCGCAAATTTGTCTGACTTTACGACCAGGATGAGATGGGCAAAGAAAGTATCTTTTTTTTGTTGTAATAAAATTATCAAGATTATCTTGAACGATTTAATTTTGGGGTTTGAATTCATATCCGAGAGATTGAAGTGCAAGTTTAGCTTTCGGTCGAGGTCGAGATTGCTTGACACGTCGTTGATTATGAGAATCAGTTAATGATTTGCATAATTCTTCTAAGAAAAGACGTCGAATATGTTTTCGCAATATTCCAATCCGTATTTTAATCAAGCCAAATATTCAATGAATTCATTGCTGCTATATCAATCATATTAAAAAACACTATCATTGGCCACCTGCGAGTTATTCGACGACAAGTATAATTATTAATACATTGATCGATCACATCGACACCAAATTTTGTTTGATTATAATCGTGAATCATTGTTGGAAGTTTCTTTTCATCGTCAAAAACTTCAGCAAAATCATGTAATTTTGATAATAATATGATCGGTGGTTTTTTTTCTTTTGCTTGGTAAGATAAAATTGTATTTTGACCGGAAAAGTAAAACCATGATGTGTATAAATCCTGTCGAATGAGTTTCAATTCATTCGGTACAAAACTACGTTTATGATTAACAACACCAAGTGATGTCATTTTGCGTTCTAATAGATTCTGTACTAAGTTGAAATCAGAAAAATATCGATCGAAGGTAATGTTTCGACCTTGTTGGACATTCTTCGGCAATTGATCTACTAAATGTAAAACAATATTTGTCGAAATATTACGTTAAACAGTATTGCCAACTTTTTCTGTGTATAATTCTAATGCTAAAACATATCTACTTTTGACATCACATAATGTCCAGAATTTAAGGCCATATTTAGCAAATTTCTTTGGCATATACTGTGCAAAACAACATCTACCTCGAAATGGTACTAATTGTTCATCGACTGTGATATTTTCACTTGGAATAAAATGTCGAGGAAGTTGTTTAGTAAATGATTGAAATACATATCGAATAGAAGCAAGTCGATCAGATTTAGCACGTCGTTGACGATCATCAAATCTAAGAAATCGTAAAAGATTTTTGAATCGTTCCAATGACATTGTTGCATGATATATTGGTCGACTTCTACTAATATCCCATAGTTCTACAAGTGACTGATGATGACTAAATTCAGCTCCAGCTTGAATCAATAAGCCGAGAAATGCTTCTAATTCGATGTAATCAAGCTGTTTCCATTTTACCGGTTGTTTATGATTATTTCTATTATTCAATCGTCTTTGATTTTCTTGATCAATAAATCTTTTTGCATATTTATTTGTTTGCATAACAATTTCATTCAGAATATCTTCAGTAATAAACAATCTAAATGCATCTACAATAGTCTGAATTGAAGTAATAGAACCAGATTTTCTTTTAAGTATATTCATTGTACGTAGGCGACCAGCAGCTTGAGTCTTTTGACTCGACCATGAAACACCATTTTTTTCAATAAAATCAGGTTGAGCATGTTTGAACATATCATTATGATCATTGACATGAGAATCAGATAAATCATCATCACTCGCATAAGAATCAGATGAATCTTCGTTCTGAGAAATAAATTCATCAGTGGATGTATCATCGGATTCGATTCCAGAAATATGATAATCTGTATCAGAATTCGATTCATCATCCTCAGAAATGTTATCGAATTCATTCGTACTATTTGACGTGGATATTTCACGACTTCTTTTTAAATTTCCATTACTAGTCATTCTTTTTATCTGAAAAAATAAAAGTGTTGGACTTTTTATGCTTGAAGAATCTTAGAAGTTTTAGACATAGTTTCTTTCTGTGGAAAGAAAATCGAAAATAATTGAGATGATACTAAATGACTATAACAGTAGTTCGATGTAATTGTAACAAACCTTGGAGATAAATGCCAAATAATAGATGAATCACTATTGGTAGTGATAAGTTAACGAATCTCTTGAGAGATAAGCCTTTGAGATAACAGATGGCAGGTTGAACAAGAAAAAAAATCACATGTATAACACAAAAGTTGTTAGGGGGTCCGTGTGGACCCACTTCTTAATTTTGTCTCTATAAGAGGTATCAAAGAAACTTCATATGGTCTTCGTGCATTGTTAGAAGAATAACGATTAGAGAAGAGATAGATCCGCAAACGATAAGTATTAACGTAGCTAAAGACAAAAATCATCATTGTGGGTCCGGTTGGACCCCCAAACAGCGTCCAAGGGTTAAAAACAGAATAAAACTGTCGATAAATTAAATTTATTCTAAATTAAGAGGCAAATGGCACTCCTAAACATGGACTTGAAATTCAAGTACTACTTACGGTAGTATTATACGTGCTAATAAGAAAAAATGGACTAAACAGTTCAGCATATTTTTGACAAATGAAAACATATTTACTTACTGTCGAGAAAACATGACAAAACAGAACATTGAAAATACTAGGTAAGTTTGCTCTATTCAAACATGAACCTATTTCTTACGTAACGGAGTTATCTGAATTCAAATATGTTACAAATGAATAATCACAAAAGGATATTGGTCAAACGAACATACTTTTATCTTTAGTTCTACACTTGTTTTCCTTTAATACACCCCAAAACTAAAACATATGCTTAATCACCGTTTATATGGTCGCTTTATGTACTTACATTTACTGCTTGCCATGTACTTATCCTACGCTTCTGAGCGGTTTTATATGATCTCTCAGAAATGAAGATATTGGACATAAAACCTCTCATAGTTAATAATGATTATGACGAGATTGTGTTGAGGTAATGATCAAAATCCTATTTGACGCATTAATATAGTTAACTAAACTTTTGCTGTACATATATATGTGGCCACAAATTATAGATGCAATTCAGTTGAAAAAGAAAAGATCTTTCGCAAAGAAGCATGCTTTTTTCTGTGATTATCTCTTGTGTATGTTCAAGAAAAGAAAACTCTAGCTACTATAATGGATTTTGATCACGCATGGACATATTTTTTGTCTAAATCGATTCAATGCCTCTTCTATTCATGCGTATATATTTTCTTCTGAAAACGATCAATAAAAAGGAATATCAGGTAAATATACAAACGATTATCTTGACATTGAAAAAAATTGCACATTGATGATGAATTTGTCAAATTTTGAGAGAAAATCGTTTTGTTTAAGCCAATTTTGAATTTGTCCTTGAAAAATTTAACAAGTTGATTACGAAAGCTGTAAAAATTATGAATAAAAATATTGTTATTCATGGACAGATCAGTTATTTCATTGATGAGAGCTCATATGCAGAGAAATCATCAGCGATTGACTAAACTATCTTAATTCCTTAAGTAAACAGCGTGAGCTTTTGAGAAGACTGTGAAAGAAGATGAAATTCCGTTGCATACATCGATTGCTCTTACTACATTAGAAATTCGTGTGATAACGGTCTATGTTCTACAGTACATGTTTATCTGGAATGCACTTTAATGATAAAACATGTCAAAAGCGAAGTATACTGCATCGAGGAAATACCAGAAAAATGTCATAATTAAGTTAAGAAATATGTCGAAAGTCAAAAAATCATGTAAACTAAATCAGGAACGTCTAAATACTTTGTATTGGACAGTTTTATTCTGAGGTTTCGTGCGCGTTTGCAACTCTATCTTCTTCCTTTTGTTTGGTTGCATCATCTATTTCGTCGGTTGAACTTTGTACTTCTTCTTCTTCTTCTTCGGTTGCGTCTTCTACTTTTCCTTTAGTTGAACCTTCTTTCTTAAGCAAAATTCCATATGGTCGTATTGCACTAGGATCAACAATACGCCATGCTTCACCTACAGTAACAGGGCTCTTATGAGTTGTAAACTTTCCAGGTTGTACTCGACATTGAAAAACAATACGAAACTCTTCACTCTTATGGGGAAATGTTGTCACAGTGAACGGTGCAGTATACAGAGATGATCCACCCTCACAATGCGTTGCCACATAAAATCCCGGACGATTTGCTTCTTCTCCGATTGCTTCAATTGCTTCCTCCTTCATGGCATCAGTTTTGATAACACTAGGCAATAAGCCATATTCTACAATGCCGCTGACTGCACCCGATCGTGTTCCATGAAAAGCAACAGGCCATTCTCCTTCAGCGTCTACACGGCCAATCCAAGTATTATCTTCACCATACTTATTGAGAACTTTGAGTGCATGTCGATACCATCCAAGTGGAAAATGATATGGATAACATCCACGTGTCTCTTCTTTAGGTAAGCCCGGTTTTCTGTAGTCGAAGTTGAATCGAGGATCTAAATCACTAGGTCGTATTTGTAAATAGCTGAGCACAGACTTCCATGAACATTCATATTCTTTTAGTTTAACATATTGAAGAATAGTGTCAGATTCAAAGCCAGAGCGAGCATAACTCTACGAAACAAAAAATCCAACAAGGTATTGATTTAGTTTATTCGAACTTTCAGTAACATAAAACATTTTGTTTTTCGTTGTATATGAATGAAAACTCTGTATTTAATGTTTATAATGTACAGCTGGAATATAAAACATGGTGACTTGGTTTCATATTCTTATAAAAGAGTAAATAATCCAACGTTTTATGAAATCATATTCATTCCCTGAACACTTCCATCTCAATCGATTTATTACTTTGAATAGTTGGGTAGACCCAAAATTTTCACGTATGAATGACCTTTCTGAGAAACGCTCATGATAAAAATTTAATTCCTACATATCAAACTAGATCGAACTTCTAGCTTATCTATAATCGATTTATAGCCTCCAGGAGAATCTGTTTGACTTTATTATAACATGATTTACAGAGCTTGGGATAGTTCAAATGTAAAGACAATACTGATGCAGTCTTTATCTGAAAAGAATTTCAAAATTTGCTTTAGTTCATTTTTTTATAGTCATTTTAGTACACGTAGTTTTGAAAAAAGTAACTTCAAAACATAAAATCTCACTCTACTGAACACGAAAATCAGCAATACAAAACGGATTGGACATAAACTTAGTCTCATATAGAAGTTTATAAAGAAAAAAAACAACTGGTTATACCTCGAGTTCGTTAGGAGAAGTTTCAATTTTTTATGATTGAAAACTATGTCTTGAGAAAAACGATAATTAAATTTGAAAATAGATTTTTTATTTAAATCAAGAAAACGACCATATTCAAAAGATCTTATTCAAGTAAAGTTTTTGGAATCGTGCAATAGATCACATAAGCCAGTGTCATATGTCGCACTTACATATTTTCGCTCGTCTCTTCCTCGGATGGCAAACGCATTGTATATAATCGCATTTTCTGGATACAGTGATTTCGGCGGGCAGTCGATAAAACAAAAATTTAAGCGAAAGTTTTCGGCAAATATGAATAAGACTCTTGAGACGCAGTATATATAATAAAATTAATCTTTTCTCAACAACAAGGCACAATGACTCCCTATGATTCTGAATTAGATCATGAATTTTTCATTATTTCTTTGATAAAAGAGCTTACGCTTTATGTATGATGGCTCATTAATTTCAAAATATATTAAGAACCTGGCATTTTAAAAAAAATTTTCTTGAAACTTTACAATCTCAATCAAATTTTTTGAGGTGTATTTCGAGCTAGGCATGTCACAGCAAAACTTTCTGCAGGATGAATTGAGTTGTTGAAGAGTTCACTGAAGATTATGGGCCAAAACATAGGTGCTTGTGTACCCTTCCCTCCAATCACGGGCCTTTAATTTCTCCGCCATTTCATATTCTAGAAAGATTGCATCTGTTGTAAGATCTAGCCAAAACTCAGTATTACAACTTACAGAGCTCGATGTTTCTATTTATTCTTAGTTTGTTTTTCTGGAAAGTTCCTCTTATAAAATATGGAAATAAAAGAAGTTACAGATCCAACATAACTAAATTTCAGTAAACACTATGTCAAAAAGCGAAGAATGCAGCTCTGTTAAACTGTACAGCTGAAATCTATTCATATTTTAGCACCTGGCTGGATATTCTAACGCTTGAAATCGCGAAGAAATCTTGAGAATATGAGAACATCAAAATCAATAGCTCTATGATAAGAAAAACTGAAAAATAAATTTCAACACTGTAGTTGACAATTTTTTCCTGCGTAAACTGATATTTAAAAAAATTTTGATTAATTTGTCGTGAATAACTGATTAAACAAATCAAATGAATACATAAAAGAAGAGTAGCCTTCACTTGACAAACGTTCTCCCCCAAATTTTCATTCAATTTTGCGTGTTTTTTATGTTCTCCTCCTATATTCACACATCATACTGATTATCAGTGAATGATAACAATGTCGGTCGCTATTAAAACTCAACTGAGAAGCATGAAAGACCTTCAACATTAAAGTTTTTAGATGAAAAAAGGATTTTTTTTCAGTATGACGATTCAGAAAATTCTATGTAATATTCTCAAAGAGCATAATAAAAACCTATAAACTTGAGTGTAGTCGACATGAGACACTTCATTCTATCCGAGAAACCATAAACCATCGATAACGATATATGCGACAAATATTGACTTTTTCTAAGACGTACTTTGAAACGAAGTATAAAAAAGAAACAACCTCCTATCATATATTTATTTATTCAGTAGTGATTTATTTAATAAGAGAATACTTTCAATTGTCAAATCGCATTCTTAATGAAAGTTGTGAAATTATAGGTTCTGGACTATGATAATTCTGAATAGGGCTATGATAACTACCTTTACACATTTACAGGACCATTTTCTACAAAAAAACCGATGCTTCAGGGTGAAAAGCCTTTTTTTGCCAAATGCTTTTTTATCTGCTCAGATTGTGCAGCAGATGGAGTTGTCTGTAAAAGAATTTTTTTTTCTCTTCCAATTCGAACGTTAAGGGCCACAATGCTATTCTAATTCAAAGGAGTACCACTAACCACTTACAATGGGAAACACACTTTGAGACTTTCAAATGAAATACAACTGTAAATAACTCTATTTTTCACGTAGGTGCAGCTAGTACCCGATTCGAGTAATTTTTGCCCGGATTAGCTCAGAAATGTGTCCCAAGCACAACTTGACGAGCTCCATCGAATGGTATGCTCAGATTTTCCCTAGCATAAACTATGACTTTCACATATCATATAGTGCCATCTATGATATCAAAAATTATATCTTATGCCGTAGAAAACTTGAGCATACCATTCGATAGAGTTCGTCGAGTTGTACTTGGAACAATTCATGAAATGCTTGGAACACAGCCCTGAGCGAATCGGAGCGAGAATTACTCGAATTGGGTGCTAACTTCATCTACGTCTATTTTTCAGTAAAAAAATCTGCTTATAAAATAATTGAAAACATCTGTCGCTCAACAATTTAAATCATGTCGACTCTCAAACTGACAAGATTATTTCAAAAGAGAAGGTATGATTTATATAAGTAAAAGTTGATATCAGCCACTGTTGGTAGCCTTTATTATATCCTTGTACACAAATCTTACCGATCTCAAATTCAACTATATTTTTTACTAAAATTTTATAAATATTGCCTAATTATAATTACAAGAGACAATTTACAAGTAAAGATGAATTTTAAATAATATTGTGTAAACTATTTATGCTACCACATTTTAAATGCTTATATGCATCTATTCCACGATCTATAATGGCTTTATGATCCACCAAATTCGATGTCAAAGAGAAAAAAAAGTATTGTAGACAACTCAATATGCTGCACAGTCTGACCAGATAAAAAAAGCATTTGGTGAAAAAGGCTTTTCACTCTAAGAAAAATCAGTTTTCTAGAAAACGATCCTGTAAAGATCTAAATGCAGTTCTCACAGCCATATTCAGAATTGGGATAGTCGAGAACCTACAAATCCGCAGCTTTCATTAAAAAGCGATTGAGAATCGAAAATGTTATCTCGTAAGTTGTTCACTCATTAATTACATGAATTAAAAATGAATTCTGAAAATAGATGTATCCAAAAGATCTCTCAATAAAATGAAATTACGGTTACATACTTGCAAATCATGAGCCAACTGTTCAGTTCTTTTGGTTTCTGGTGTAGTTAAACCAAATTTTATTTGACTTTTTCCTTCTTCATCGACTAATTTATTGATAGAGAATACACGAATACTATTGTTGTCACAGAAGAGTACCTTGGAGATAGCTTCACAAAAGTCGTGTACAAATTTTTTTATACCATCTTCTGATTGAAAAATCTCTGGATCATAACTATGACCAATTTCGAATTGAAAATTAGCCGTAGGCAAAGAATCAGTCGCCAAAAGATGAATACTGCCTAAATCAAAGACACCAGTCGATGCTCGATAAATACTATTATCGAACTTTTGATCTTCTCCTGTAAAAATTAAGGTACAGTACTTTTGATGGGCAAAGCTTTCGAGTCCTAATACAAGTGTTTCTATCGAGTCTTCACCAACAAGAAGTGGTTTCAGACGAAAATTAGTCGATTCACCAATGGCTTTTCGATAACGAGCCACTATTTGATATGGATGAAAATCAGTAACACCTTCTGGATAGATAATATCATCTCCATCATCATCAAGCTCTTTATGAGGATTAAATGAACTTGGAACCATATCGATTAATACTGAGTTTTGCTCGATGACCATATTTGCTATTTGGAGAGAATGATTGGTGTTTGATGGTTCCGATGATGCATCGCTGGCTGATGGTTTCGGGGATATATCGCGTGATGGAGGTTTCGGTGATATATCGCGTGATGGGGGTTTCGGTGATATACCGCGTGATGGAGGTTTCGGTGATATATCGCGTGATGGAGGTTTCGGTGATGGAACTACTGATAGTTGGCGTCGCGGTGGTGGAGTTGATGGTAATGGTGAAATGTTTCTAATTATATTCACGTTTGAATAAACTCTCATAATCTCGTCATTTCGCATCAGTATCAACTTATTTATGCGGAAGCGTAAATTTTCGATACGAATACTGCGTGCTGTATTAATTATTATGCCTCTTTTTTGTTCATTATACATCATTAGAAGGATGCGTGCACGAGATTCGTTAATTTTTTCACTGTATTTATATATTTTGGATAGATCATGTGTGGGTTGTGATTTCATACTTTTCTGCTGTGACATTCTATAATAAATAAATGACTAATTAGTTTCTGATTTATATCAAACGAGTAATACGGAAAATGACAATGGATAGTTTTTCTATTGAGATACTTTGGTTTATGACAAATAAATATCCGCGAACATAATCAAGAATTAGTATACAAATGCTATGTTTTGATATGGCACAGTTGTGAAAGATTGTTGTAGCAACTAAAATTTTGAATGAATTCTTGTACACTCAACAAATATAGATTAACTTATACTCTTGTCCTTATGGATGCAATAAAGAAATCCAAATGTTTAGAATATCGTATTGCATGTTTCGATAGCTTTTTTTTATTCTATTGTTCTATTTTGTTAGTCACAAAATACTTCTCTTGGAACAGACAGCGCCAACAAATTTTGAACCGATCTTCTTTGCGATACATTTCTTACATTCTAGCGAAGTGCTAACTATTTCTTCAAACAATGTAAATCTCCAAAAAATATTCAAGAGACACAATTGATAACTGTACTAAGAAACTTTTGAGATGAGTGTGGTATTTTTCATATTCAATTTTTCGTATTTTTTCAATATCGATACATAACGTCGAAAAGGCTTCTTTTCAAAAAGAAACCGGTGATTTTGTAAATTTTGTTCTTGGTAAGAACGAAATTTCAAAAAAAAATGCGACGCAGTGGTCTTAATCTGCACATAACTGAAAATGAAAACATACTCACTTTGTTTATTTCCTTCAGTAAACCAATTATTTAAAAATTGACTTTCGTAAATTATATTTGATCTGTATGATCTTGCTTTTTTTCTTTATACTCCTTTTCTTTCAACACATAAAATTTACACTGTCACTTCACCAATCACGTTCGCCATTATTTTATCTGATGTTTATGATTTAGGATGTCCTTATCTTAAGTTCTTTAGGAGTTTTATATGATGCTTCATAGCCATAATCGTTCGTGGAATTGAATAATTCAAATATAAAATTTCTTATAGCTTATAATGATTATGGCGAAATCTTTTTGGAGTAACGATCAGGGTGTGGGTGTGGAGCAGGAGAAAAATTACACTCACATCCACACCCCACACTCACCCACATTCATACCCACTCCATCGAGGAACTTACGGTGATGACCGATTTTTTGCATTATTCAGGTACATTTCTATCAAGAAAAATCTAGTGATGATAATGCAATGGTTACTATCAGAGGTTTCTCATATAATGTTACTAACGTCAGTGTAGACAGTGGAGGCAAAGCGTACAAACATCTGCAGCTGTAGAAACGCTTGCTTCTGTACATTTGGTTTAAAAAAGAGTATACACCATATATTTTACAGAAGCAATTTACGCTGTGCTTCTATTATCCTAAAAACTATTTTTTAGTTCAAAAATGATGTTTAAACTACATGTAGATGGTGATCTACCAAATAGCAATGGTATTTATGTTTGTTCAAACGATATGAATATTGTTTTATTTCTCAGTTCTTCAAATTCTATGAAACTTGGTTTTTGCACACTTTGGTACCTTTTGCTTTAGAAAAGTAAGTTTACAGATACACTCTACCCATGTACAACAGTGTACACTGTACATTTTGTTTGAGATTTCCATTAGACACATTATTCTTGTGTGTGCTTCGGCTTCATCGTTAATCTTATCGTTGCATCCCTACCCGCACCCATACGTGCGACTTAATGATATCTGGAACATTAACGACATTTTTTAGGGGAATACATTTCTTTTAATTTTTATACAATCGACATTTTTTTTCGCTGTAATTGTTTTCGACATTTACTTTTAGCCATTTTTTGTATCGCTATTTTTATTTCGCTACTTTTTTTGCGACCATTTTGATAAATACCACAACAGTATACTTGCCATAAAAACAAAAAAGTCACAGACATTTTTAGGAGAAGTACGCTCACTTGATAACTTTTTCTGTGAAGCAAAATGTTTTTTAAAATACCTTTTCAGAACTTTCTAGCAAAACATGCCAAAAAATTTATAGATTTTGCTGGGTAATAATGCATCATTTTCAATTATTGGGAAAGTGTACATCCTTCCATTTTCTCGTGGATGTGGATGTGGGCGTTGGTGTGGTTGTTGGACTCGGATTCTTTCACATCCAGCCCACATCCACACCTCACATTATTATTACTTATTATCAATGATTCAGATCGAAGAGGATTAACTGAATTACAAAATAATTATATCAAATAATTAAATTCATCAAATGTTTCTCTATCAAGACTGAGTTTTTTATAATAATCAGATATTAAACGATGAAAATGCATATTTGACCTTTCAAGTGTAGAAAAACAGTGAAGAATATCTTATGTTGAGAAATAATACCATATAATAAGTAAGATTTCATTTGATGAATCAAGTAAACAAGTAACACGAACATGAAATTCTAAACTGTACTCAATTTTAAATTTGACTATCAGATAGATTTGATAACTAGGTCATCCTTTGTGCTTATCGTAGAGGAAATTGATTTAAATGAATTTGTAAGTTTCTTGTAATAATTAAATTTTTTGTGAGATCAATGATTCTGATTGGATAACATTTGATAAGAGAAATCTAATCATTGTATTCTCTATGATTATTTCTTCTTTCGAACTCGTACTATTTGAGGATTTTTATGGTGAGAACCAATCATAGATGATTGATTTTATTTCGATTCGATATATATCTTGGACTTGTTGTAGCTATTTATTTTCAATTTCATAAAAAGTCTTAATGATTTTGATCTCTATTTGTTAAAAGTTGTTTTCTCATGGAAATTTGTATTGATCTTCACTGAAAAAAAAAAGTTCCTTTTTATTTTCTCTGAATTTGCCAGATTTTCTTAAGCATGACGATTAATAATAGTTATTCGGATAGAAACTATCTGTTCATTGAAAGGGTGTGTTAAATTTTATTTGTCAATAAAGATTCGCATAAAATCATATATTATATCGATCAAAGCTTTTCCCATAATTATTATTATGATCGATCTTGATTTAATCAATCGAGAATTGAAATGAGATATGGATAGTATTTTCGACATTGTCAAGATTAGATTTAACTCATGGAACATACATTTATGATGAAAAAGAATCCATTCCTCTTTTATTATATTGAAAAATAAAAGATACTTTTTATTCATATAAATATATTTAATCTTTCTGTTAACTTTAATATAACACATTGAAAAAGTTTCTTTTTCCAATAAAGTGAAAATATCAAAACCATATAGATAAGATTGAATTAGCAAAATTAAAATAATAAGATTTAACAAATTTTAGGTCAGTATATCGAATAAGCCAACGGTGGATATAACCATCGAAAATTAGATTTACTTCATTGTGAAAGAATCCAGTTGAAAAATTAATTAATTTATGCCAAAGACGACGATTTGCATAAATAGTTTCATCAATAGAAAATAATGTTTGAAAACAACGAATACATGCAGATTTTTCTAATGGAAATAATAATTTTAAATATTCAACATTTGGAAATTGACGAGCAAGAAGACAAACTTCTCTTTCATCATTTAAACGACGTTCAACAATTAGATGACGAACAGTAGTTTGAACGATTGAATATACTGAACTAATAGCTAAAACAGATTAATTAACTATCTTTTTTTTAATAGATTTTATTTAATAAAATTCTCTTACGAATTTGTTTTGTAAGAATGACTTTAGAAATTCTTAATGGTAATTCAATGTCAATTGATAAACAAGTTGTTATTTGATAAGCACGACGAAAATGTCTCTTCAATTTAACTAATTGATTAGCTTCTGTAATTATAATATGTTTCATATATTGATCTTGTTCAACTTGTGATGTAACTAATGAATTATATTCATCTTTTGAGAAAGGTAATTCTCGTTTATCATCTTTACTTGATGGCCACGGAAATGAATAAATATGTATCCATTGAGAATTTTCATCATCATAAGAAACAGAATTCATTGTCCATATTATAAAATCTTCAATTAAAGTTTTCTCACCAATTCTATGTGTCATTGTATAATCAAATCGACGAAGATCTGAAAGATATCCAATTAATATTGATTCAAATTTAGGACCATGACAAAATGTTGGATCAAGTGTATCACGAATACTTAATGTTAATTTGATTAAATTTGGCATATAACCAAAAATAGATTTCATATCATCAATGATTAATCCAGTTCCAGGTTCTAATAATGTAAATTCAGTTAATCGAGGACACAATGGCATATTGTGAGGACGAAGACAAGCTATGAAATAAGATTAGAATTTCGTTTCAATGATTAGAACTTGAAAAGATAATTAATCAGTGAAAGATATTGAATCTTGATGAAAGAGAAAACTTTCACAAAGGAAAGATAAGGAAGGTTATGTTCGTCCGGTCGAAAACTTTCAAATCTGAATCCAGTATATGGAATATTTACCAGGACTAGACACATTCGATGATCTTTAGAATGAATCAATTAGAGTGAAAAAATGGATTATGAATTTTATTAGAAATAGTATCTACTCATTTCACTTTTGGCCTTTTTCTTATATCAAAAATCCAAAAGATATTTCGTAAGAAAAAGTCGATCAGCTGTTCTCAGAAATCCATCATTATAATATTGTCATTGAAATTTTTTTTTTTACCAAAAAAGACTTTTTTTTGATCGAAATAACTCAAGTCGAAAGTTTGAATAGATGAGATATGCATTGACATCTTTTGCGTTAAATACTTACAGAGTATTCGTGATCGACGTAATTGAATAATCATTTTTTCTATATTCGGTAAAAGTCCACCAAGTAATAAATATAAATCATCGATAGTTTCTAAAGCTAAATCAATATTTTGAAGATATTGATTAGCTACTAATGGATTACATAATACAAGTCCATCAGGTATATCAATAATAACTTTGTGTAAAGAACAAATTCGTTTACCGAATAAGAATTGATGGATTACTGTATCATATCTTTCTCTCATACCGAACTCTAAAACATGAAATTAATTCATTCAAATTAATTATAATAAATACAAAATTTTATTGAATAAAGCGAAAATTAATAAACCAAAACTAAACTTTAATCAATAAATTTCTCTATTGTACTTACGTATATGATCATCATTCTTTCGAACAATTATATTAAGATATTCAATTTGAATTATATCAAAGCAATATTTAGCAATTATATCAAGATCATTTGATGAACAATCAACTAATATTAAAGATTTCAAATTGACAAAAATTGATTTGTTTAGATTTATATCGATATTATTAAAATAACGGTGTATTAAATTAGCAATATGCTCATTGCTTAATGTCAATGATTCAGGTCGAAGAGGTCTTTTATCATTACACAATAAATTTAACAAATAATTGAATTCACCATTTGTTATTTTTTCAAATTTTATGTTTGTATAATAATCAAATATAATACGATGAAGACGAAAATTAGCCTTTTCAGGTGTATAAAATGAATAAAGAACACAAGCTGGTGTTAGATAAAGACATATTAGAAGGAAAATTTCATCTGGTAAATCAAGTAAACAAGTTATATTATGACGAACTCGTTTCATTGATGATGAATCAAATTCTAACAAAATGATAAAAGATTGTGTCAAATGGTAAATAAGAAGCAATACTTACCAATATCGCTAACAAGACGTTTTGTATCTTTACTCATTCTTATTTCCAGTGTTTATCTACTTAAAACGATATGAATAATGTTTTTCTATCTATTATTTTCTATTTATATTTAATGAAATCTTATTGATATATTCATTCTTTATATGAATTATGGAAACAAAGACTTGTGTCACTGTCGGATATATATAATGACCTGAATTATATTCCGCCATGAAAACAAAGACTGAAAATGATTGGGAGAAAAATTCATTTCATTAAGAGTTTGACCACCATAAAAAAAGTCATCTATCGCGTCCAAATAATATCTAAAAGTCAACTCGAATAAACAAAAATCTCTTCATACAGAGGTATACGTTCCACGGGTTATGACTCATGGGAACATGTGGCACCGGAATTTGTCATTACTCCATGTAGGATTGTGAAAAATAATATATAGCTGTCGTTGTTCTACGAATTCGATAGCACGGGAATAACGATTGACCTTTTACTCTCAAGCGATTGAAAAAGGAGCTCACTCCTCCTTTGTCTCTTTTATATCATTCCTCATAGTAACACTCTGATTACCAAGTGGAACAAACAATTCTGATTATTTTAATTTTTTCAAATCGATATTTAGAAGCTTATTCTCGTTTATCAATATCAATGATCGAAATGGACGATTTATTATTGGACGAATCTTCTGATGTTATTTTATCATCAGAAACTGTTCATTCATCGTTAAATGCTAGTGATTCACTTTTTTAATACTCAATTGGTGATATAAAGTACAATAGATGAAAGAAAAACTTCACAGGACACGTACGAGCGAGGGAAGACAGAACTGATGGAGGGGATCCATGGATCATGAAAATGCCTTGCCCTGAACACTTATTTTTACATCCAGATGGAGCACAAGTAATGCGTCAGCCATTGAGTCTTGCTTGACTCAATCCTGACAGCGAACTATAGAAAGAATAATACCGTATCCTTCAACAAAATTTTGTATCCAAATATATTACAGTTTTTTCGGGCTCAGAAATGGTAAGTTTATTTCCGCTAATGAAAGAATGCATATACATTATGTTCACTAGTCAATGCGTATCTAAGTCAAAATTCTTCCTTTTGTTTCGATTTCTGCAACTCTATTTCCAAAAGAAACTATGAGAACACCTTCGATCCACACAAAGTTTCCTATTTCTCTTTTTGGTAGAACATGTTTATTGGCTGGGTGTGGGTGTGGATGGGTGTGTGGGGTGTCGGTGTGGGTGGGTGTGTGGGGTGTAGGTGTGTGGATGTGGGTGTGGGTGTGGGGTATGGGTGTGAGTTGCGGATCGGTGAGGGTACGGGTGTTAGTATAGCCTTCCAACGTCAACACTCAGATCGCACATTGACATCCCAGATCTACACGAACATCTAGACCGATGTGCACGCCGATACCCATGCCCATCCACATCCACATTCCTCATCCCGCCCCTACAGTCACACCTCACACCCACACGCGCCCACACCCACATCCGCACCCGCACCCGCACCCATCTGCAGATTCTCATTGGTGAGGTGTAATGTCGACATCATAGTAGGTTTATACACGCACACACCTTACACCATAGACTCTACAGTTTAGGGAATATCAACTACTCATTAAATCTCAACATGCATCATGCGCAATCAATTCGAGTGAAATTTGGCCTATTGTATGCATTATTTCATACTATTCGTTATTAGGTTTCGGGGTATAAACCCATCACTATGATGAGAAAAAGGAATTTTTTCTTTTTCATGAATATTTTTTCTTCGATAAACATTCACAATGAAAATAAAACGGTGCAATGAGTCGTTTTTTGTTTTGCGCAGCGCACTGCTGGCCTTGAAGGTTTGTTTACATGCACCATTGGAAGTAGTGAATTGCGCATCTCGTTAGTCTACGTTTTCCTTTTATAAATAGAAAAATACTTGTTTAGGATGAAAGAATAACAGGGCTGCCAAATCTTCTGATTTAGCCAGGAGACTTCTGGTTTTTAGACTTTTCTCTTGGCGAAAAAATGTCCTGGATCCAGGAGCTGGTTTTTATGATTTTCTCCTGGTTTCTCCTAGTTTTTTAAAGAATTTTGTCACGTTTAGTTGTAGTGATATTTTTGTATTAATAAGACAAAGAAAAATAGAACTATCACACTATTTCATAGATGCAATAGACAACGAGGAAACATGTCGTTTCTGCTTGTTATGCCTGATAACATGCGTTTATTTATGAGCTTATTTTCTTGACTGTTAAAACGTACCTCATTTACAAAAACTAGTTTAGTTCGCTTTTTCTATATCAACCTAGAATGCTATTTGTGAATTGACCTTCAGTCATATGAAAATTTTGTGGGCTGATAATAGAAATGATTTGAAGTAAGATCTTATTGGCGCATAATTAGGAACTAAAATGAATAGTTATGTCAGTTGTACAGAGTCCTATAATTATCCTTTAAATAATTCAGACCTATTGAAACAAATTCAGTCTTCAGAAAAATATGGCCATGTTCATAGGTGGCGGAACGTTTTGGATCTAGAGTAGGCTTAACAATTTTTTACAAGATTCGCACGAGAAAATTAAAAATACGGAGTAAGCCAATTTTTTTGATACCATCATGATGAAACAAAGTTAGTGTTTCTCATTTCGAACTCGTATTTTGTAATGTATGACGCTGTTAGAGATAAGAGAAGCATTTGCAACTTATGTGTCAAAAAACGTGCATTTAAGAAAACATGTTGATGATTATATTCATTGATTTTCAACTTTCGCAAGAATTGTTTTCCATCTGCTTTGCTAAAAAACAAAATAATGTCCAAGCAGCAGTGTTCACAAAAACGACATCACATTATGAATGTTTTTACTATGTTAAAAGATTTTGTTCTGTAGGAATATTTTTCTATACGCGTCGTTTTCTCGTTCCATTTCTTATGGCAATGGGAACTCCATTAAGTATTGGTATTTCCACATTTTTTCTCGTATTTACATACGTATTCAGATACATGTATGTAACCGCTTTTTATTTTTACGTAACTAACCTACTGTAGCTCCAATCATAATTATATTTTTTATTTGAAATTATGTCACGGTTATCTTAAAATCTAAAACTAAAACATGAATATGAATTCCTGAAGTCTTACGATTAGAGGTGTAAATCGACGAGCGGGTGTGAGTGTGGGTGTCGGTGGGACAAAAAAATTAACAGTTTTGAAGGTTTTTCAACGCCTGAGATCACTTTTCAACGATGTTTCTGTCAAGTTTTTTTTATCAGTGTGTTCTTTACCATTGTTTTCTCTTTTTCCGTCCGGTAGTTTCTCGGAAATAAGAAAACCTTAAAGAAATCGTCCAACAAATACACTCGCCTCTGCTGACAGACAAAAAAAGTTGAGTATTTTCAGTCGCTGCCGAAAAGAAAAAAATAAAATCAGACTTACACACCGCCAGTCTATGGACTGGTTTACGCTTCCGCTTACGGGAGTGGAAATAAATTTTTTTTCCGAGAACGAGAGTATAAGAACAAGAATAACAATTTTTTTTTTCCGAGAAAGAGAATATACGGGAGGGAACAGCAAACTTTTTCTGAGAACAGAAACAGTAATCGAGGAAAGTTGCTCTCATAACACCAATGATCGGGTATGTAAACTTAGTCGCTAAAAATGATAAAAGTCTTTGGTAGCTACTAGCTGATATGATTCAGATTTTTTATGCAGTACTTCGTCACTTTTAACGAAAGAATCCCACTTTAAATCATGGCTGATCCAAGATTGGACATTTAGCCACACAAAACTCAAAGTTTTCTCAAAAACAGTTTCTAGGTCTGTTTCAATAAATGTTACTATTTGTTGCCGATAGCGGCAAAAAATCTAGACGTCTGTACAAAAATTTTTATGTACTTCACAAGCCTATCAATTTGACGTAGTAGAAAACAATTATTTGAGCGTACCATAGTCTATGGAATCTGAACCTACAATGCGGTGCATAATTATAAGACCACTTGTTTTACCAATAAGATAAATCAAATGAATGCGATACTTAATCAGTTAGTACAAGTGAAACACAAGGACATGTATATAAAATTTTCACGCACATATTCCTTGACTTTCATGTATACATAGAATTATCTAAATTTCTTTGGTGCATAAATATAAGACCACATGGCATGTTTGCCACAACACTTATTCTAAGCGACTTTTTGCGTAAATTAACATACTAAATCAACATTCAGATATATGGTGGGTGTGGGTCTCTCTTAACCCACACCCACACCCACCCTGGTTGGCATTCTTTCGAAACGAATCGAATAAAGAGGGACTTCTGATAACTTTACAGAAAAAAATCCAGTATGGATAAGGTTTTTTCCTTCCTTTCATCAATATTTAACATGTGCGTTCGTTCTGCAGTAATTCACTTTCCAGTTCTCCCTCTAGCATAATAGCCGCAGTTCTCTTCTTTTTCTTTCAAAAGACCGTCGCAAAATCGACTTCTTTCCACGAGAGTTTACAGAAAAAAACCCAGTGTGGATAAGGTTTTTTTCCTTCCTTCCATCAATATTTAACATGCGCGTTCGTTCTGCAGTAATTCACTTTCCAGTTCTCCCTCTAGCATAATAGCCGCAGTTCTCTTCTTTTTCCTTCAAAAGATCGTCGCAAAATCAACTTCTTTCCACGAGAGAAACCAACGATGACAACCATCAGTGATGACGAGAAATTCAAATCTCTTTTGGATGAAATTATTCTCATCATTAGACAAGAATGTGGTCAAATTGCTTACCAAATCCCAACGAAAAGCAATTCAGACAACGATGCCAAATTGAATGTCGACATTGATACAATTTCATGCAATCGTCATGAGGAACAGTGTATGGCAGAATTAACAAAGAAAATTGAAATTCGCTTCAATGAATCTTTATCGAAGTTAAACGCTGATTTTCGTCAATTTCTATTGAATTGTCTCTTTGAATATCATTATGATTACGAACAATCTCAGTTCAAGGAAATTTTGACCATCAATCGTTTGGATCCATTTCTCAATGATCTGCAGGCAACTCGAGATGCCCTCGATGCATTTCGTGCAGCATGGACTGGAAATAAACAATTGGTCGAAATCTTTCTCGAAAATTATCCAACATTCAAAGACAAACCGGGACCATGGAGCACAACACTTCTTTATTCAGCCGCAAGAAATAATCAAATGGCCGTTGTGAAATATCTTCTCAGTGAAATCCATTGTTCCGTCAATGCTCAGAATCGACAACATATACAACGAGCTCTCCGAATGGATACAATCACTGCATCGGACTACAAAGTCGATCCAAGTGCCGGTTCCAACGCTTTGCATGGTGCGTGTTATGGTGGTCATTTAGAAATCGTGAAATATCTCATCGATCATGATGCAAATTGTTTCATGCGAAACCAAGCCGAAGAAACACCGATGATGAACGCTATCCGATGGCCGCACATCATCCAATACTTTCAAGATTTACTCAATCGGGGTTATATCGAAGAACAACAACATTTGCCAGAAAGTCCAATTACCGTAATGGATAAAAAGCAAAGAAAAGATTGCATCTGGGAATTTTTATCATTCAGTTTTTATGAAACTTGGCTTCCTTTTGATACATCCGAAGTGAAGCAGTTGAATGAGTTAATGACAGTCAAGGATGGTAAACAATTTCAAACAGAATATCAATGGAACATCTCTCAAACCATTTCCATGGTTCGATTCCTCCAGTCCGGGGACACTATTGCTTGGGTTCGATGTCGTGGTTCGTCCATTCTGAATTTTGATTGCTTTGCATTATGGCAAATATTTTATCTCAAACATCCCAATGGTAAATATGATGAAGACGATCTCATGCCAATGAAAATATTAGATCTTTCACTACTCGATGAACGCGAACCAAAAATTCAGCTGAATACCTGGTACAATTGTGATGCTACCAGCAATGATCGACTCGATGAAGCGATGAATAATCGACGGAAACACACGACATTCTCACTCGTCGATCGTCCAGTTCAATTCGATCTGATGAACTTCACATTTACTAATGAAGATCAAAGCATCTCAGGTTTTATAAGATGGATTCCTAAATTAGTATCAAATAATGATCAGAGTAAACATCGCATCGTTCCTATAAATAATTTCCAAGCCTCATCAAACGTTAACCCAGTACCATTGACGACAGAACATCGCAAAGAAGCCTCACAATCGACATCCAATCAGCGAACATTCGATTCTGACGATGATGAAGTTCCAATTGATGTTGATATAGTGACAGATGACAAACAACCTGAGACGGTATGATCGATAGAATATAAAAGCTAGCGTAGAATTTTCATTCTACATTCACTTTAGACTGAGAATTCCGAAGACGAAAGTGAATTGTCTGAAGATCCAATTCCATTACCACCTGATGCTTTCGATGACGGAATCGAGGATGATCGAATCAACCAAAAAACATCGGAACAATTAGCTCGTGCAGAAACATCGACATCATCGGAAGGATCAGACGAATTGCGTCAAAAAATAGCTGAATTGGAAAAAGCTCTTCAGATTGAACGCTCAAAAATTCAAACACAATGTGATGCTATGGAACAACAACATGCAATGAAACAAGAAGAAGCAGCACAAACCATCCAGACAACATTGGAAGAGATCGAACGATTGACAGCTGAACTGAATCCATTGAAACAGCGAAAAGAAACTGTACAAAAAATGAAACAAAAAATTCAAATTACAGAATATGATAAAATTGCAAGAGAAGTAATGCATGATTTTCTCTTGCCCAGATTCCATTACTTCGTCAGTCAATTGAGAGCCACTGTTCCAGATATTGACGACGATACTCTCGATCACATCCTGACCATAGACCTACGAGAAGTGCACGGCGCTTATCAATTAAGAATTCAAGGTTTTCCAGAACATCATGCAGCATTCAAAGCAAAGTTCCAACGAGTATTGACTCTCTTCAATTGCCAAATGTCAAGCATAGAATATTACGAACGACATTCCAATCGAATATTGCGTTCGATCAGCCAAACTTTAATTGATGTCAATGTTCGAACGAAAAGTTGGAGAAAATATACGGAGATTCTCAAGCGTTTGCTACATGAAAAGAGTGGTGCGTACAAAACGAACTTCAATCATTACATCAAATCAAAAGCTACATCATTAACGGAACGAGCCATTAGTGACCCATCGATGTCACCATTCCATGAACTTCGTGAATTCACCAATACTTTTATTGCAGCAAATCCATTCATGAGCGAGATTGAGCAATTAAAACATCAAGTCATGGAAGAATTTATTCAACAGCATGTTATCTCTGGAACTGTGCATCTCAAGCAAAGACCTCGACCTCCATCGATCCAAACATTGAATATACTTCTTAATCGAATCAAAGATCAGTTAAGAACTAATCCTGACTTCGTCGGTAGCGAAGTCAGACACTTCAAATTGATTCCTGATTTATTGAAACAAATTCTGATCTATTATTCGTGTTTCCTATTGCAACTACCTTTGTTCGATGAATCGACCAAACTTCTAGACATGATCGAGACGAATATAGTGACAACCATTGCTACTTCAACAGGATCAGGTAAAAGATCATTAGTATGCATCACTCATTATCTCTCTCTCTCTATGTCTGTAGGCAAATCGACGCTGTTACCTGCTTTACTCATTGCTCAAGGATATGATAAGGTGTTGGTTACACAACCTCGTCGTTTTCCTTGCACATCCGTTTCCAATCGTGTCAATGAAACGATCAAGACCGATATCAATGGCTCATCCGAACAACTGGCTGGATGGGCCATTAGTGGAGAAGAAAGCAATTCGAACGCTCCAGTTCTCTACGTGACTGACGGTCTTCTCAGAGAAAGTCTTCTAAATAACGAAAATTTTATCTCTGTTCACACCAAAGTGAAAAAAGCCACGGTGTTTTTCATTGACGAAGTTCATGAACGGTCGATTAATATTGATCTATGTTTAGCTCTCTTAGCTCGATTATTAACCGATCAACCGATGATACGAACGAAAATCAAATTGATTATTTCATCGGCAACTTTAGATTCGTCTGTACCTCAATTATTTCAACGCATTTCCGGTGTCAATCCCAGCCCATTTCAATTGCCACAGATTGGTTTATTACATCACGTAACAAAAATCGCTCGACCCAAAGAAAATATTTTGGATGTCGTTCAAGAACTGTTTAAGAAGCGTCAACGACATGATCAGATTTTATGTTTTGTTAATTCGGTGACGGAAGTTACTCAATGCTGTCGCATACTAGAACAATTGACTCAAGGGACAATCAAAGGATATCCGCTGATTCAAGCTCAATCAGCTCCAGTACAACGATCGTACATTGAACATGGTAGTGTCTTTTTTTCCACCACAGTAGCTGAAACATCGTTGACTTTTCCTTCATTGAAATACGTCGTTGATACCGGGATGATCAACGTACCCGTCTATGATCCTCAAACGAAACGAACCGTTATGAGACAAGTTCGAGCTGCTGAATCGACCATTAAACAACGTCTTGGACGATTGGGACGAACTCAAGATGGAGAATATTATGCTTTGTATGACTTTCGAGTTGAAGATCAACGCTTCCCAACACCACAAATTTGTCAACTAGACCTGACTAATCTGGAATTTATTCTGAGACGATCGCTGATTCGACGCGGATTGCATTACATGCAACAATTTTTACCTGATAAACCAAAACCAGCTGCTCTTGACGCAACTGTGGAAGAACTCTTCCGACTCAGTTCGTAGAATTAATATTGATGAGTATCTTCTATATAAGTTAGTTGTGTTCTAGGTGTGTTAGAAAAAACGTCTACAGGCGAGCGGTTCACTGTGGATGGTCAAGCTCTGGCACAACTTCCTGATTTCGGTTCCATAGCAATGTCGAAAGCGGTTTTAGCTGCTCTCACGACATATCATTGTGGTCGTGATCTCATCTGTCTCTCATCGATTTTGGGTGGTTTGAATACCGCAGCTATACTAAAAGATATTCCACCAGCCATGAAAAGTCCTGATGGTGACTTTATGACTCTCTTAAATGTAATGAATGAACTTCTATTAGTCAAACAATCCAGTGCAGCGCAGCAATTCGATTTGAAAGTGGTTTGCCAACACAAAGGATTGGAAAGTATTCGACACAATCTGAAACAAGCTTTAAGAAGATACGAGAGTTTAGAAAAAATATTTAACACCTCCAAACATTTTCGTCAACAAGCACAGATTCAATCAGGTGACTGGAGACGTATCGCTAAGGCTTTGCTGGAAGGTTACGGAGATAATGTCTTTATATCAATGAAAGAAATTCAGGATCGAACTCACCGATTTGCTCGATACAAAGATACAAAAGATATTGCTGTGCTTGATCTACAATCGACTTTAACTCGACCGATCAGCCAAGCACCGGTGCGTTTAGTCTTGGCACGAGATGTGATCTATTCTTCCACTGCTCGTTCGACAGCAGTGATCTCTTTCGTCGGTGAAATCAAACCATCATGGGTTGAACATCAGCTGGAACGGCATATCGTTTTGACACTCGAAGAGAAACAGCATTTAGAAAGTCACAACGTCCTCACAAAAATCCGATCGGCTATCACTACTATCGCCAACTGGATACAAAATAAGCCTGCATTTGTTTTAAAAAACCAAGCAGGAGTTGTTTTTAACGATGAACTTGAACTACGAAAAGAATTGATCACGACCAAAACCTTTGAATTAGAAAACAATTGTACACAAGGAACTACTGAACACGATAATCTATCTCGAAATCTTGAAAGTGTAACCAAAATGATTTATATCTTTCAACCAATGCGATGGCGATGGGAAGCAGAGAAACAAATGAAAATCACTGTTGACAATAATCCAGCTGGAAAGACTTGTGTAGTGAAGGTTGAAGGACGACTTTCTGAACAGGCGAACGTGAAAAAAGAATTCGATTCGTTTGTGATTTGGTTGAAAAGATGTGTGGTCATTCGTCATCCAAATTCAGGTAAGATTAGCGTTCAAAGTCTTTCTTGAAAAGCATTTTGTTTATCCTAGGCGTGCTACCACGTTTACTTCATCCACGGTTACGTAAGAAATATCCAGATATTGAGAAGAACATCGCACTTATCACTAATGTTGATCGAACTTTGGTCGATCTCTACAAAGCCGTAAAGGGCAAACATGCTACACGGGAATCACGCATGGAAGTGGTGGCCTGGATCGCTGTTTGTGAATTTCATTGTAAATTAGAAGGTGGTTTCGTTCGTGACTGGGTCGTTAGACATAAGTTCCATGTACCAGCGAATCTGAAGAACAATCCAAAGGCATGGATCGAATATCGAACTAATGCAGACGGTCAAGATATTCCTGGTATCACAAAAGGCGTCGTTCCCTCTGATTTAGATTGTCATTTGCCTTTGCATCAATACTTCGACATTGAAAAGTTTCAAGATCGATTGCACAAATTCGATATTGTCTGTCGAGTATTTCGTGAGAACTGGAGATACATCGTACTGATCGATGAAAATGCACCAACCGGTCCATTTACTATGGATCTTATTGAATCTCATGTGGCATTGACTCATGATCGTATCGATCTTGATGTGAGTAACCTTTCCTTAGAACGAAATTATCCACGAGAGCTTGGTATGCGTATCGATGTGACCCAATCGCCTTACTCGATTGAGTTGGAATCGATTGCGGAAAACATCATGGAAGGACGCTTTCGAGTTCTTCGGCCGATCGACAGATTTGTGAAAGATCGTATCGAGAGAATGATCCGACGTGGATGGAATCAGCAAGGCGAGCCAATCAATGTCAATCCATCACCACCACCACGATGTTATTCAGTTCTAGTGCCACTTCCATTAACATCATCATTGTATCAATCATTAGCAAATGAGATGAAGAAGATTAATCAATATATTAGAATTATTGCCATCGAAGAAGTGAAAAATCCTCTTCTCGAAGATACCTATGAAGCTATTAAAAAAATGATTGCCAAAGAATCTCCAGGTTCTAATCCAAACGAACGAAAATTGTTCCATGGTACTAAAGCAGACGGTATGAAGGGTATAGTAGAAAATGGCTTCGATGATCGATTTTTTAATCCGACTGGAGCATGGGGTAAGTGTATGACGTAGAAATACGAATGAAATATCTCATTTGTACTTAGGTGCTGGGGCCTATTTTGCTGATGATCCTCGCAAATCTCATGGTTACACAGCTGCAGAAGGCGCTAATCAGACCCATGTGATGTTCTATAACAAAGTTACATTGGGCAAGGAATCAATGAAAGGACAAGCGGAAAACAATCTGGTTGCAGCGCCGAAAGGCTTTCATTCCGTGAGAGGAACTGCCTATCAATACACTGAATACATCGTCTATCGTTTTGGTCAAGCCTTGCCATATCTCAAGGTCACTTACAAAGTTTAGTTTCGACTTCTTTTGTTCTTCAATCGTGTCTTTTCAACATCTTTGCTATAAACTTAACAGAACTTGCTTCTTCAAATTTATTTAAACAGTTTTGTTATTTTATATTAACGGGTGGGCCATAAAGAATGATGGTCTCCATATTTCTCAAATATCTTCGTGAGTTTTCATTCGTTCGAGCTGAATTTTTTTTTGATCGAATCGCCGTTCGACTCTCTACAAAAGTGAGTCTTTTCTGTTGCGTTCGATTGAATCAGTTTCATTCGAAAAAATAAAAAGCAAACATTTGCAAACGCTCATGTTTTCCAAGTACCAAAAAGGTGATGGACCGGGAAAGATTTTTCAAGATCTTAGTGGCGCCATTAGTCTCCCGAAAATCGAACGGTGGTGCAAGAGCATTCGTGATACTAGCTCTATCATCCTCTCAAAATCATCTGGCCGTCCAAGAACGATCCGAATGAAGGCAGCTATTCAAAAGGTCAAAAATCGACTGAAACAGCGAAAGTCTGTCTCTTCTCGAAAATTAGCCCGTGAATTGGGTATTTCTCGAACAAGTGTTCGGAGAATACTCAAGAATGATCTAAGACCCCATGTCTACAAAATACAAAATGAACCAATGCTCACAAACGAGCACAAAGAAAAAAGAATTCAATTTGCTAATTGGGTACGAAGAAACTTCCGAAAAGAAGACACAATGAAAATTCTGTTTTCTGACGAGAAGATGTTCGACATTGATGGGATTTATAACTCTCAAAATGATTGTATATGGGCGGTTAATCGTTCAGAAACCGACATCAAAGGTGGTACTCGGCAAAAACGTAAATTTCCGCAAAAGATTATGGTTTGGCTCGGAGTTTGTTCTAAAGGTGTATCACCTATAGTGATTTTCGAGAATGGGACAGTCGATCATGATCGATATATCAAGGAAGTACGTCCAGTCGCTCTCAAGTTCGGCAATGGGTGTGGGTGTGGGTATGTGGGTATGTGGGTATGTGGGTATGTGGGTATGGTTATATAAGATGAAACCATACCTACACACCCACACCCACACCCACACCCACACCCACACCCACACACACACACCCTCAATCGTAAGCATTCATAGTACTTAATCAAGTGGCAGTATTTGCACTAGCTGAAATACTTTCAAACTTGTATTTGAGAGAAACCATTTTTAATAAAGTAGATATCTAGTTTTTCATATTGATTTATTTCGTTGTAATAGGTACAGATATGAGCGAAGTGCATATCCCTAGGACACAATTTCTGGAAGGTCTACTTTAGCATATATCCTCTCCTATAGTCAACCTCAAGTTTTACGAAACAATTTTCTTAATCACATTTATTCTACGGTGATTTGACTGAAGCTATCCAACTCAAAGAAGAATCGAACGATGCTCTCCCTCAATCCACCATGCAATCTTGTCTAATGAAACACCGGATCTGAAAAAATCTCACTCATACATTTTGTTGCTGAATTCAATGCATCAATTGAAAACAAATGCGTTTTTCTCTCTGTCTTCAAATACTACGACATAAAAAACTATACTAACACATAATAACAACTTTTGCTTGTCTTTCGGCGAGGTCGGTTCATCAAATCTCATCTAATTACTAATAGACCATAAGTTAAAACTTCATCTTAAATGATCAGAAGTGTTCCATTAAAGTTCATATCTGTACGAATTGAATTTATTGGTAAACTTCTGTATTGATATTAGATTTCTTATATTAATACGTAAGCGTCAGCACTTTTTTACTACTATTATTAATTTGATATCGTTATTGACTTCATAGAGTTCAAGTAATATTTAATATGTCAACAACTATAAATTTCTTTCTTACGCTTATTTTCTAATGTATAAATAAGTAGCAGGGCGCAATAATTACGTTTTTTCGAAACGCATATTTAAAGAGCTAAAGATGTGATTATTCTTTCTTTCGTTCTGTATTTATTTGAATTTTTCCTCTTTCATTCTACTGTATACGTTAATAAGAGCGTGTAATAATTATGTCTTTTCCTTCGCCTCCGAGTATGAATAGTATTACATGTGAAAGAAAAAAAATCGATTCAGGTAAACACAATTTGCATAAAAATATCGATATGGATGCAAACAATAATGATTATAATCACTCATTTTTTATCATCAACGATGCCTAAAGAAAAAAAGTAAGGTATAGCAGATTAGAATTCGACAATTTTCTGAATAAATTCCTTGTAACGCTGGTCTCAACGTAGCTGATTCTAATTTCCCGTAGAACTCAATAGACTATATCAATTTTTAGAGTCGCTTTGCTCATCTCTCGACTACTTTAGACATCACTATGAATAATTATTTAAAAAAACATGGAAAAGCTGTTAAATTAACGTTGATATTAAGTACAGAAATATGATATTAACAAAGATTGATAGGTTGATCATAGCTTGCTGTATGGACAGGTATTAGATTTTGTAGAACGGAAAATATAAAAATAAGTGAACTTGAAATGAATGATAAGAAAGAGAGCACAAATAATGCAAACTTGGATAGATATAAGCATATGTGGAATATAACCCTATTTTTATTGAATTTTCTCTTTGTATTTTATTTAATTTGCTATTGTGTCTGTTTCAGTTTAGAACAGAATTTGCTTCTCAATTAAAAACGCTATGGCCAGCACAGAATTGATGATATCCAAAAAGGTATTAAAATTAACGTCACAAGAAATGGTCGATGTGATCTATGATACATTGGAAATAGTAGATGAAATATTGCATAGTGCAAAAATCGAATATACACTTTTCGGTGGTACAATGCTTGGTTCTCAAAGACACGGTGGTCTGATTCCTTGGGATGATGATGGAGATATTGCCATTCAACGCAATGATGAACAGAAACTCTTGACATTGATAGAGACATTTGCGGATCGAGGATTAATTCTTGGTGTTGAACCACTGTTTGGTTATCGTGTTTGGGATCCTCGTCGAACTGTTTTTCAAGTTCGTCATCAATTGTATGTTCCATTCGTAGATATATTTTTGATCGATACTGACGTTAATCAATATGTTTATATAACCGAAGAAGCAAAAAAAATGTTTCCATATGAACCATTACCTTTTGGATGTTTTCAACGTCTTGTTGATGTTTCATTTGGTCATTTGACATTACGTGGTTTGAATTCTGATGATACTCAACGACATCTGAATGAAAACTATGGTTCCGATTGGAACCACGTGGCTTGGCGTGACTATGATCATCTTACCGGAGAGATTTTATCCAAGATATGTGTTGCTCTCGATGATCCCAATCTTTTGCGACCTGCTCTTCATTCTCAACACAATGATATCAAACCATCACCATCTGTATTGACCATGAAGTCGACCGACGTTCATAATGATCGCTCTGATTCATAAATAGATGTTACTCTCAATCACTTGCTTTTTCTCGTTCCAATTGTAAACATATTTAAGTATTTTAACCATCGGCTTGTGTGTCATCTCTGAAATCTTCTCGTTTTACATAGTTTAAACAATTTTTAATTCCATTTAGATTTCTAGATTGAGAAACAAATCTTTTTTTATCATACAATCTCGAGTTGAAATGACTGCGGATATTAGGGCGATGTGGACAAGTGGAAAGATCCGAAATAGTTAAATATTCTCTTCAAACATAACTACATCTATAGCATTGTTATGACATGTTTTTGATTATTTTGAAACATTAAATCATTAAAATAGTTTCATTACTTTACATCCGGAACATAGGTTGATATCGTTAAATGGACGAACGATAAATACTGTTTTTCTTACAATGAAAAGATGTTGTGTGTGGCGTGTGAGTGTGGGTATGGGCGTGGATGTGGGTGTGGATGTAAGTGTAGGGGTGCGTGGAGTACGGTGTGTGGGTGAAGAGAGGATTCACATCCACACCCACACACCCTCAAGATAGTGACACGCTCACTCTCACTCACAGCCACATCTATAACGTTCACACCCACACCGACATCCACAGCTGCACCACTCATACCTACAAGCACACCCTACCGGACCCATAGCCATCCGCACACAGTCCACTCT